TGCCATCAGTCTTAGGGCAACATAATATAATGATGAAAGTCAGGAAATCATGTTAGTAAGTGATTTTCTCTCTCCTCCCCCAGAGCCAACCCCCCACCCCCAACCCCGTGCCCATGCTTCACCTGCCTGGGCCCTTCCCCCTCCATCCCCTACCTGTTCCCTCTGGTCTGCTTTATAGAGGGGTGGGCTTCGCTTTTGAGGTTCCTGTCTTATAAAACTCTGGATTCCAGCAAATAGCATGAAACCTGAATATATTCTTAGGTACTTCAAGCTTTCAATTTTGCCACTCACTACAATTTTGTCACTATGTAAAAAACCAACCAACCAACCCTGCTGGGAGCCTCCTTGGTGGCCTGGGGGTTAAGTCTCCAGCTATCACCACTACATGGCCTGAGTTTGATCCCCTGGCCAGTGAGCTGACCCACATGGCAGGTGTGGCAGACCTCTCCGGTCTTGCCCTCTGCTCCCCGCAGCAGTGTATTTTAGTAGATCCACCTGTTCTGCTCCCCACTCTGTCTCTGGTGAATCCTGACTTCCTGCACCTCTGGCCTGTACTCCAGTTCTACACAAGGAAGATTTAAAAACAAAACAAAGCCCACCTATCTAATTTCTCTTGTTCCACCTTCTGCCTGGGAAAATATGGATCCTGCCTACCTTGAGGTGGCAAGTGCAAATAACTACAGATTGTCACCTCTCTACAAGTTTAACCCTTCTGGTCTCTATTGCGACTATAGCTCAAACCACAACAATCACCTATTTCTGAGTTTTTCCAGTTGTTCTTGTTGGGACCATTAGCTGCAATTACTCCATTTCTACCCCAAAGTAGAAGTTTTACATTTTCTTTTTAATCACATGAATATCTTAGTTTAAAATTCAGTATCTCCTCTAATCACTGCTGTTTATAAAGATTACTGCAACAATCACCCTGGCAACTAGGCCAATATATACCTTCACAGGATAAATTTATGGAAATAGAACTACTAGGTCAGCACTGGATGACTTAACAAATTTCCAAGGTATAGTCAAGTGTCACTTAATGATGTTTTCATCAATGACAATGGTCCCAGGAGACTAGCCCAGTGTGCACGGGAGGTAGGCTAGCCCATCTAGGCATATTGATTATGCTCTATGACAGTCACACATCGACAACATTGCCTTCCTCTGAAAGTATCCCAGTATTAAGCACACAAGCCTATATTCACAAATGGCCCCCAGAACCACGTCCCAATAGGTGGAGCTGATATGAGCATCTAGTACATAACTGTGGAGTTGCTCCAAGTGGGTCACTAGCCTCTCTGCCTCCTCAGGTGCCACAGAGGTCGTCCAGCCCTCTCTGTTCCAGCCTCAGCCTTCCGTGGTGAGTGGGCAAGGCAATCCACAGATCTCGTGTATGGTACGGGGCAGCTCTGCCAGGGCCCATGTCTTGTCTTGGTACCGGCAGCTGCGGGGGAGTGGCCCCACCTTCCTGCTGAGTCAGCGAGAAGGGGCTCCCCCAACCTACGGTGTAGGTGTGAATCCCCGATTCCTGGCAGAGATGGACATAACCCAGAATGCTGTCCGCCTCACCGTGGGCAGTGCCAGTCCTGCTGATGAGGGCACCTACTACTGTGCCATCTGGTTTTCAGGCCAGTACATCTTTGGAGAAGGGACCCATCTGCTCTATCAGGGTGAGTCAGGGTATGTGGGGCCCTGGGCCCTTGGCTGTGTAGGACAGCAATGGAGGGGGCATGGGGTGATGGGTTTGAGAACAAAGGTATGGATGTGGGTATGGACTGGTAGGGATGAGGGGCAGAAGAGGGACAGTCAGCAGGGGAATCTCAAGTTTCTTGACGGGAGAAGCGGCCATCAGCAATTGAGAATGGGCACAGACACCTGAGAGTGGGGGAAGCTTCATCTAGAGTATTAACTCTTTTCCCTTTCCTCGCCCTGTCAGGACACGGGAGGCCCAGAGAAGCAAAGGAACAGGTTGCAGAGACAAGCTCAGAGCCAGTATTCTACAGAACACAGTAGAGGGCCAGCTGTGGGGCAACAGTAAATTCTGGGAGCCAGTCTTGGAGAGTTGGGAAGCAGCCCGTGGAGGAAGGGACTCTAGCGGTCTCAGGAAGGAAAGGGAAGGAGTTGGACTATGGGCTGGAAAGCGGTCGGTGGTGTAGGTGATTCCTTCTCCCCTCACCCCCCTCAGCTGAGATGCAGTCCCCGGTGTTCCAGCCACCCCAGCTGAGCCTGTTCATCCCGGACTCTGGGCCTCCTTTCCATGTGTTTTGTGTGGCCCATGGACAGTACCCCGCCCCCATGAGGGTCTCCTGGGTGCTGAGAGGCCAACAGCAGGAGGAAGACGACTTCACAGAAGGAGCTGGGGACCCTGTGGTCAGCTGGCTGCAGCTGCCCCCAGAGGCAGCAGGGATGTCTGTGACCTGCCAAGGCCTGCACCAAAGTGGGGCCTCAGAGGTGGTGCTGGCCTTGCCTGGGGCCCAAGGTGAGTATGGAGGGTCCGGGGTTTCCCCCCAGTCTTCAGAACCAGTATTTTACACAACACAGTAGAGGGCTCCTGCAGCCACCATTAGGTGGTCCCTAGAACACAGTTCGGCCTGTTGTGGATGGCCCAGCACCCTTGGGTCTGCCCTGCCTCTGGGTGAAGCCTGGACATGGTCTTTGGAGTTGGGGCAGTTACCTATGAGGTCCGAAAAGCCACCTGTCACTCTTGGCTCCTGTGTTCTCTAGTGGTGGAATGACTATTTCCTTGGGGACACAGAAGAGGGATATTATTTGAGGGCTGTCTGCTCTGTTCTAGGGTGCTGGAGGAGCCTGAGACCAGACAACTGTAATGAGACTCTTGAGAAGAGTGGAGACATCCTCCTTGGTATGAATCCCCTGACACTGCCCTGGTACCCGGGACCCCGAGGGTGGCCAAGGTGGGACTTTCTGATTTCCACTTTCACTGTCAAATGGAGCCATTCAACAAGCACTCATGGAGTTCTAAGTCTCTGCTAAGTTGAGGATGAAGGGGACAGTCTTAATACTAGGGTGTCCAGAGAGCTGACAGTGAGAATACAGCGGTAACAGGCCTCACCCTGCAGCTCAGAGGGCTGAGGAGGCCTCCCTGGAGGGGCTGCGAAGCTGCTGTGCCTGGGGCAGCTGGGCCAGGCCTGAAATTCGCACCAGGAGTGCACAGACCCAGGCAAAGCACCAGGTCTGGTCCTGGCTGAGCCACAACTATAAGAGAATCTCTTACCTGTTCTTGGCCTCAGACCAACCCTCCTACACTCAGCCCCAACCAACTCTGCCTGTGAAGAACGTAGGCGGGTGTTCCCCTCCATCAATGGGGGGTAACACATCTCTAGGAGGGTGAGGGGAAGGCACGCAAGGTTCTCCAGAGGAGCGGCCATGGCGTGCCATGTCAGAGCCTGCTTTCCTGCAGAGGAGCTGCAAGAGACCCTTGCCACCGTCTCCTACTGCTACCTGGGACTGCTGGGTGCAGCTCAGAGCTACTGCCTGGTCCTGGCTGCCCTCTGGAGACGCCGCTGCCGTCGGGCCACCCCAGGGAGCAATGCCTAGCGGGCCAAGGAGCAGCCCCGCCAGGGCGAGAGCCAGGGTGAGAGCGGCCACGACCTGCAGCGTCCCCGCCAGGCCCTGCAGCCTCCCGCGTCCTCCCCTCCACGCTCTACTCAGCTTCCTTCTAGTCTGCTGCCTTCCTTACCCACCAGTTCCCCATTTTCTCTTCCAGGCTGCACCAATTTCTCACAAATACAGGAAATTTAAGGAGACACTGCTGTGTTGTGGGATTCTGTGGGCAGGGAAAGGGGGAACTGAGACCTGGGAGCTCAGACCTGCGGGATCAGCAGCCTTGGCTGTGGAGTTTGTTCAGAGAGGTCCCAGAGCCAAGCGGCTGTCGGAGGGGAGAGCAGGTGCTGGGCAGACGTTCTGTCCTCTAACTGGCTGTCTGGGGATGCAGGGTCCGTCCCCCTGCTCTGTCCCTCCTTTCTCATTCAGGTGAGAGTGGGTAGCCCGAGGTTCTCCCCTTTTTGGCTTAAAGTCTTTGTTAGCTCACAGCCCCTGAGAACAACTGCCAAATGCTGGTGAGGAATGACAGTGCCCAAGGATCTTTTACCAGAAACATCTTCATACACAAAAGATAGGGGTGGGGTGATTCATTCAGAGACTGCTAAGGCAGCAAGCTCTTGTCACTGCTGAGACACCCACTCGGTGCTGACAGCAGCGGGACGAGTGAGCTGCTCGCCCTTGGGGGCCCTGTGAATTGCACCTAATCTTCTAAGCTCAGCCCTGAAACAGGGCAGCGTCTCCAAGACCCCCAGGAACCCCCAGCATCAGGCCCTTCCATTCAGGGAGGAGGTGGGGGATACCTCAGGTTGGCACTCAAAAGGCCCCCAAATTCTCCTTTCCCCTTCAACTCCCCCTAGCGTCCTTACACAGCCAGGCCCACCATGCCCTGCCTGACGGCTGCCGGGAAGGGACTTGAATTCTGAGATAGAGCCTGGTTTCCCGTGACCCATTTCTGCTCACTGACCCTCGCTGGAATCGCAGCACAGATCTGTGACTTCAAGACATCTTTGCTACCACGCACATTCCTCAAGCTGTTATTTTTTAAACCCAGGCACACATTAGCTTTGCTGAGAGTGGGGGGAGTAGAAGAGAAGGCGCAGGAAGTCGTCTCCGGACAGTGGAACTCAGGGTCGGGGCGCAGCGGCCGACCCTGGGGACTGGGCAGGGCTGGAAATAAAGGCGCCGCACAACAGGGCCACACACAACACACCAACATGCCGCACAGTGTGGCGTGGCCTGCTGCTCTCCTCTACAAGTGAAAACAGATGGGAGACTCACGCCGGGGCCTGGCTTGCTTGCCCTGCCGAGGACACCTCAACCTGACCGGAAGCCTGGGGAGTGTCGGCGCTGGTTCACGGCCAGCGGCCGGCTCTGTGACCTCCGCCAGCACCGTGGACGGCTGGGGGTCCTCCCAGTCACCAGAGAGAAGATTTAACAAGTAAAAACCTGCAAACTCTTTATTAAAGTCTCCCATTTCTTCTGTACAGAAAAAAATGCACATTATGTTCAGAATCTCAGTAACGTCTCAAAATTACACAGCATGAACATGTAAAAACAAGGAACTGCCAAGATTTTATACATAGAAAGGAAAACCATTTACAAAAGAGACTTGTTAACTTTTCTTTTTTTTCTTTCTTTTAAAAAAAAAGTTAAAGGCCTAGGATCTCCCAGTTTGCTGCAGTGTGTTTTCCTGCTTGAGTGACTGGGGACACTGTGCTGGGAGAAGCCTGGAGAAGCCTCCTGCGGCTGGTTCTCCCGCCCCCACCCCTGTCCAGCGCACTGCAGGCCAGCGGGCCCCTGCTCACTCCACCCTGCCTGTTGTCTGGTCTCTGGTCTGCTGGGCTCTGGGGTTCAGGTGTCGATTCTATGTTGAGGGGAAGGCAAGAACGTCGAGGCACTGTCTGCATCTTCTCCTTGCCTAGGAAGATTCCTCCATTGCATGGATCCCAGCAGCCCTAGCTGTGTGTACATCGTGGTGGATGGTGGGAAGGAGGCAGGAGAGGAAGCCAGTGTCAGGATTCAGGAGACAGACAGTCCCTGATCTCCACAGTGAGGACCCACCAAGTCGGTGTCTGAAGTCTGGGAAGGAAGGGGGCTCTGACGTCACCTGTGATGGCCCTGACACTTGACCCTGGCTCTAGAGGAGAGAGGAGACCCAGGAGTATGGCCAGAGAGACAGCACAAGACATGTGAGGGAGAGAAAGGCAGGCCTGAGCATCTCTGGCTCCAGACGGGAATCAAAGCCCAGTGGTAAGAGGACAGAAGTGTCCATAAAGGACCAGGAAAACCCAGGGCACCGGAATGCTGCGTCTCATAAAGCTACTGAAGTGCTTGTCCAAATGGTGACAAATGAAAGAGAATTCTTTGCTATCTGAGGTATTTCAAATTCCTAAGAATCTGAAACAAAGGGCAAGATAAAAATATACATAATTCAGAAAAACATGTTCTTTTAGTTCTATGGCCCAAATTTAGGTGGGATGTGTCAGGCTGCGTTAACTGGCCCCCGGAGTCCCTCTGACAGCTTTCTCATCCATGACTTAGAAGATGTCGTATGTGGAAAACGCTGATTTGGGGGAGGAAGAAGCTGGAAGTGAAAGGCTTGGCTCTGAGCTTGAGACCAGCTAAGGAGGGAGGCCTGATGAAGTCACTCACCCTGCCCGGACTCACTGCAGCAGGGTCTTTGGGAGAGAAGAGTGCCGTGGCCTGCAGGGGGCAGCACACGGCCCAGCAGCCACACTCGCATGAGCGGGAAGGCGGAGGAAGTCGGCACCAAACACCCCATCTGTGCTATCTGGTGAAATGTAATGACGTGCTCATCTCTTCACTCCTAGAGTCTTCTATTACGCGACCTTAGGAAATGGAAGAAATGACATCCCAGAGTCGTTTTCTGTTTCATCTTCCAGGCAGCAGGGTCTCCAGGGCACGCAGAGGACAGCTTCTGCCTGAAGCGGGCCTGTCTTCCGCTACGGCTGCCACCTGGGCACAGCTTGCACGCAGACGTCTCTTGCACGGCAGCGACTGCGGACGCCATCGGGAGCGCCCTGCGCAGTCCGCGCACTGGCCCCCCTGCTGCGAGCGCTCTGCTGGAGAAAGCGGTCCGTCTTGCTCTTGACCATCTGCTGCCTCCTGCACGGCAGTGCCGCCAGCCAGGAGAAAGACCGCGCAGTGTGGCAGAGCTCACGAGTCTCAGGGACAGGGCCCTGAGCTGACAGGCCACGTGGGTTACCTACTGCTGCGATTTTCAGCAAGCGCCAGAGGCCTGGCCTTGGTGAAACCCCCGTGCTGCTGTTCACAGACTAGATGACAGGAGGAGCGGTAAGGCCAAAGCCCACGTCAGCTCCTGCTGCAGGGTCATGGTTTCCTAGTTGATTTACCAACGGCCTCCGAGGAGGCCAGCAACCAGAAGGGTCTCAAAACCTGCGCCATGATGCCAAATGAAGTCCAGAATGGACACAGCTGGGCTGTCGGTTCAGATGGCGCCAGGCCTCGGGCGCAGGAAACACGTTTAGGACACTGCCTGGGCCGCCCAGCGCTAGTCCAGTGAAGCTGTTCTAAGTGTGGTGCTGAAATGTTTCCTTAACACCAAGCAGCTGAAGATGCTGGCAGTTTTGATGATTTCTAAAGGTGACGAATGTCTTGAGCATCACACTCCTTTTCAAATTTCAAATGTGCTGCAGACAACTAGTGGGATCTTAGTTCAGAAAGAATCACTGAGACACGTGAACGAGACAAGTTCTTACACGTATGTGGAGGGACACGGCAGAGCGGGGGAAGGTATCACCCGCCTCAAATGGTGGCACCGAACCCCCTGTAGACCACACGGACATGTGGGTGGGGCCTGGTCTGAGAACAGCCAGTCTCGACCCCGCCGCCGCCGCCCCACCCGCCAGCGGCAGCCCGGGGATGGGCGTGTGCACTGCTCCGTGCAGCCCTGCAGTGGCGGAGGCGGGTGCTGCTCAGACTGCAAGAGCTTCAGGTTCTTGCAAATGATGCACGAGTCCCAGGCAGCTGCTGAGAATCAGGAGGCCCCCAAGAACAGGACCGAGGGGACCAGCAGCTCGGTGGCTCCCCCGGTGACCTGTGCCCTAGGAATGGGAGATGTATGGTTGGCTTCTAGAACCCACCGCCTCCAGATGGATAGTTAAAGGAAAAGAAAGAAAAAGAAGAAAACCACAGTATTCAAATATACGTCAGTCAGGTTAGACAAGGAGCAATCTGGACCAACTGATCCACAAAGTGACCCACTTTGTACTGAAGACATTTCAGGGAAGACAGAGGCCGCGCAGCCCTGCAGCACATGGACAGTGGCTGGGGGGGCAGGGGAGGGCGCATGGTCATGTGGTCAACTTTAGGCACATGATTTATAATACTTTGTGGATGTCTAACAGGTTAATAAAATATATATTATATAAATATATCTCCTACTATACACGCCACTCTCTTGCGCAGCCTCTGTGACTACATGCCCCGAACTCAAGTCAAGTGTGTCTGGCTGAACCGTGTTGCCTGCACCTCCCTCTCTAGACCCCAAAGCTGCCACCTCTACACTGCAGGGATAAGGGGGTGGCCAGGGATAATGCTTCCATTAAGCTCAGGTTTTGGAAAGATCAATGAGTCGCTAAAAGGCAACATTTAGCCAATGCCTACTACAACAGATATATGCAGTAAATGGACTGAGAAGAAAAACCTCCATTTCTTCCTGGAAGAACTTTCCATGCCCTCTCCACGCACAATGGCCTTGACCCTGGAGAAAGGTCAGGCTGCTGCCAAGTCACATCCTGAGCCCACCCCTACCTGCTCTATTGCCTGAAAAGTAAAGCAAAGTGTTCAATTCCCAGCTCCTCCTTCCTGCTCTGAGCAGTCCTCTGCCCCAGTCACTGCCTCCAGGCAGCTGACTTCAGCAGCGACCGCTACCCTAGCAGGGCTGGCCTAAAGGTGACCATGTGGTGCACTGGCCTGGGGGAGGAAGAGCACTAGGACCCCCACCCAGGGACACAGGCCCAGCCCTCAGCGCAGACCAACAGACTGACCAGCTCCTCACACCTCGGGTCCCCTCTGCAGCCCATCTGCCCTTGGCCAGAAGAGGCTCCTGTGTAATTCGCTGAGATGAGGAGACCACAGAAACACCTTGGGTCTTGACCAGCAGTGGTTCTGTTAGGTGGGAACTGGAAGGCATCACTGTTTCATCAGAAGAAAATAAAGACCCAGAGAAGACAGGTTAGTGGCGTCCCACTACTCGGTGAAATCCATGGCCCCGACATGGCCCAAAGGCGCTTCTGAGAAATAAGCAAGACATTCCAGCGATAGCAATTGGATGGCGCATTTTCCCTTAAAGTTCTGCCTTCATTTTATAGTCACAAAGTAATCCCACTGCCCAAATCCAGCCTGGAGGAGATGTGCTACTATATACATTTTTTCCTTTCCTTAAAAATTTCTTTTTTTTTTCTTTTGTTTTTTTAAAAAAAAAATCATTTGAGTTGCAGGTCAGGTAAGTTGGTTCTGGAAGGACTGGTAGTTCCACTGTATGCGAAAGGCTTGTCTAGGGGCAGGTACGCCCAAGTCTGCCAACAAAGGCAACAACCAAAGCGGTCAGCTGCTGCTGCTGTGCGGATGGTCGAGGAGGAGGACACCATGGACACGGGCGAAGTCTGAGGTGGGACAATGCAGTGGGTACCTGCTGCTGCTCTAACACGGGTGTTGGTGTCACCTCAGAAGAACGAGGTGAGTGGGGACACTATACAGGAGGGCTGTACACACTGGGCACTGGACAGGTAGTTCCTCAGGTGGTCAAGGTGGCTCTACCTGTCCTTGAGCTCTCGTGTCACTCGCTTGGTGATGCGTCCGCACATGAGGCCGATCAGGAACAATATACAGATGCTCCCACTGATCACAGAGAGAATGTAGTTCTTTGATGGCGAAGTCATCACTTGCATGGCGAGATCAGAGAAGCCATCTGCGGGGGCCACCTGAAAGACACACAGTGGCATCACCTGGAAGATCAGGGCTGGGGGCAGGTGGGCCCAACTGGCTCCACCGAGTCCTCCGTTAGCGCAGGTCACTTCTTTTGAGGAGAGAAGGGAAGGGGCAAGGAACTCAAACATAGAGGTACAACTTTCCTCCCTGGTCACGGTACTCTATGCATCTCCTGCTCACGCTGAGGCCGGAGACCTCCCGGGAATGGGCTTGGGCAAGGGGCTTGGCGTGTGGTCAGCCACCTAGTCCTGACACCAACCCTCGCAAGACTGGACGCCTCTTGTATTACAGGTGAAAACCCACAGGTCTGTGGCGTGGGAGATTAGGTGACTTGCACAGGTCATAGGTTCCTAGGAATTCTGATTGATCTTTTTACATCACCTCTGTCATCTTTTAAAAAACAGTAAGTTCAGACTGGGCCGCAGGCTAATCCCACTCCCCGTCACATGGTAAGCATACCTGTATATCAGATAGTGTGCCAACGTGACTCAGACGGAATCACTTAATGACTCCCTGGATCATGGATTTTTAAAAGTCCATCCAGTTTTCTTCCTCACCCTGCTCTTTATTTTCTCACGTGGACCTCTATGGTGGCCTGCCACAGTAGCCTTTCCCACCTGCCTTGTGGCCTCTGACCTCTATGCACATGATTCTGGGACAAAGGCCAGGGAAGGTTCTCATCGGCATTCTCTTGAGCTAAGGTAGCTGGGAAAGTCTATCCCAACTTGGGGTGATACAGAGAGCATGGATCTAGTGACCTGACGTTCAGTGAGGGGCCTTCAGTCACCGCCTCTGACATCACAGGTTCCCCTACTGTGAAGCGAGGAATACTGTACTTTCCTCACAGACTTTCAAGGCTCAAATGAGGTAAAACAGTCATCAAAGTAATGTACACTTTTTTTCACATAGTAATGTACACGAGAAAAACTATTACCATTACTCTTGCTGAGGCTGGAAAACTTTTAGGGAAAGTTTTCTAGTAGTTTTCCCCAGCCCAGTCAGCCTGGGTACACAGACATTCCTAAGCATCTTATTGCCTATTAATCCTACTATTCTGCACGTGCCAGACTGGCCCAGGGCCAGACTCACGTAGGTGAGTCTTTTCATAAGGATTGTGTAAATTAGAAAAACAGCTTTCAGACAGAAATGGATAGGTTTCTTTTCCCATGAGCAAGATGTCCAGCTCTTCTCTGCAGGCTGACTTAAGTCACGTCATTTCCTTTTTTTTTTTTTAATTTACTTTTTTGCATGAAAGAAATGGGTTATAGGCCAGAGGTGTAGGGGGATGATAGGGATTTCCAGAGATAGAGTGGGGGGCAGAAAAGGCAAATTTCCTGCTGAGGGGAGCAGCGGGAGAGAGGAGAGGTCTGCTACACCTTATGTAGGTCAGCTCCCTGGCAGGGGATTGAACTCAAGCCATAGCAGTGAGGGCTGAGTTAAGTCACATCATTTCTTTGGGTGACTCACTTTTCAGTGGTGGACTATGGGCAAATGAGAGCAGAAAGCAGTGGCTTGACAGAGACAGCCCAGTGCAAAGCGCTCCAGGCACCAAGACAGGTGCAGTGACAGATATTTCAGATACAGCACTGCAGGCTCACAACAAGGATAGGAGACCAGCAAATTATCTCAAAGAGACTGGGAAACCAAGAGAAGAGATGGCCATGTCAGGAGTCTTATGGCCATTACCTTTGCTGCATAACTCCACATTTCAATCCGATCATTGAGGCGTTTTTTGCACTCTGGTTGTAATCTCACCCGCTTATCCTCCAGGGCTTCCATAAGGCAGGACATTTCTGTGGAAGAAAAGGGAAAAGAGGAGTCTGAAATAGAATAGGACAGAAAAATTGCTACAAGGAGGAGAAGGGTACCTAACCACCAGATAATCCAGGTGTGTGGGCTGAACAAAGTTAAATCTATTCCAGGAAACTTGATTCATGATACAACGTGGAGGAGAATGATATTTAAGATCCCCAAAGTTGGCTTTCTGGAATCTCTGAGAGCCTCTCTTGCTTATTGGGCATGTCTGGCTTAGAAATGACTTTCTACCTCCACTGCATTCTACTTCATGTAGAACTTGTTTGCTGAACCCAGTCTGGCCATGGAAAAGCAGACAAAGCCATTCTAGGTGGGACAAGAGGGCAGGGAAAAGGTTCATGAGGGTGGCTGAACTTTAGCTGCCTGACCAATAACTCAAGTTTCATCACGTCTTTGTGTCTGGTCATAGCTAGGTCAGCTTGAATTTGCAGGATTTTGCCAGAAAGGCCTCCTCCTAACAGCTTGATTCCCAGAGGTTGCCGTCTACGGCAGAGCTGCAGCTACAGGGCACAGGGGCTGCAGCTTGTATGTTAGACGTCTCTGCCTGCCTGTGGCATCGCAGACAGGGTCGGAGGAACACTGACTTACGACGCCCTCGGCCAGGGGTGATGGCGGCACAGTGGTGTTTAATGTCCAAAGCACAAGCTGTGTGAAGAACTGGGTCCACAAAGATGTCTGCTTTGCTCTCCTTCAGCATGTTCAGAACTTCCTAGGATGGGAAGATTGTGGTAGAGAGTGTTTTTTAGAGGAAACACATGGGAGCTATTGTCTATAAATACTGTTCATATACACAAAAAAGCCAGGGAGGAAGATTGAGAGTTCATGATAGAGCCTGCTTTGAAATAGAAAGCAATGTGTGATGATGCAAAGAATGAAAATTTTTAGCATCCAATTTAATTCAATAAACATACTTAGAGTGTAAGCACAGTTGTCTTATAAGCAAAGCAGGGTACTGTAAGATCAAATTTGGGTTTCTGGCATTCTGGTATGCCTTAATGCTATTATTTATATTGATGTAATTACAGTTATTCTGTTAAGTCTGAAAATGTGAAAAATGAAAATCAATAATATGCTATATTAAAATAAAAGGCATATTTGTTTGCAAAATGTTTCACTTTTACTCTCTCTTCCTCAAAAAGTAAAAAAGAATCAACAGAGCATAACTACTACTGCAAAGAGAATTCTTATTTAAGTTTAAAGAAGTTCAATGAGTAAGAGAATAAAAACAAGACAGAAGTCAAATAGCAGACAGTCCCACTGTACTCAAGGAAACCAGAAGTGGAAAGACAAGGCAGAAACACTTTCTTAAAAATAACGGCCTGCACAAAATGATGTAAAAACAAACTATTATATAAAAACAAATAAGTAATAAGTAAGTAAATAAATAATTAAGAAGGAGAAAGAGATAAAAAACAAAAACAAAAAAAACAAACAAAAAACCCAGCCTGAGCTATCCCTGGTGGTGCAGGGGTTAAAGCACAGCACTAAGAAGTGGCTAAAGCCACTTCAGCATGAGTTCAATCCCCACCCTGGAGGTGACCCACATGGTGCAGCAGACCTCTCCTGACCCGCCCGCTGCTCCCCTCAGCAGTGTACTTT